AATACTTATTGATTAACATTGAAAATATTGAATTTAATTATAAATATAATATCGTTATCACTATCGATATTAACTCGTGCCTATGTATTAGCGCGTATATGAACAGTAGCCGTTTGGACATACGCATAGAAAATAACTCATTTTACCCAAATTTCGCTGTTAATTCATCTTAAAATAGTTAAAACCTCTATATTGCCACAACTCAATATAAGTCCTTACACTAAAAATTTTTACAGTGTAGCAGAGACTAAAATAAGAAATTTTCAGAACATCCGAAAACGCCATAAATTGTGTTCAGAAGATCCGAAATTCCGATTGCAATTTAAAAAACAAAACGGAACTCTGAATTATAGATTAGTTTTTTTGTATTTGGAAGATTCAATTTGTTGTACGGAAAAAAAAGAAATGTTTGATATTTCCCATTGATTTTTATCATTCATCCACAATTTTATTGCCGATCTTGGGAATTATTTTTTCAATATGAATGCCTACTCAGCACATTAATGCATGCTAGTGCCATGATTTCTTCACAATCGGTGTTTTAGGATATTCAATCATCCAACTTCGAATTCTAACCGAAGTCTTCAAAGAGAGAATTTATTATGTGAACGCAGAACTGTTTCAAACAACAAAATTCATTGAAAAACTGACGAACTTCAGAATGCAGGTGTTTACAAAAAATTCGAAAAAGTGAACAGTTTTTGCGATAACGAATTTAATATTTGCCATATCTTGACCAACAATTTTAGTGTTTGTACGTGGCGACTGAAGCGAGGCGAATATTTCGATATGATGTGTAATGAAATTCAATTTTACCTAATTTATTGTAACATTTTCTATCAAAGAGTATTTTGTATGCGTTCTTTGGGCATACATTTTGTTTCATTTGAAATTTCTGAGGATCCGTAATTTAAAACTAGAGCAGCATTTTTCCGTTCAGAAGATCTGAAAACCGGCAGGAGATCCGGTTATTTCAGTCTCTGCAGTGTGCAACACATCTACCGCCGACTAAATCAGTTCACATTAATTTAGTTGGGAGCAAAAATTACCGACCACTAAAAATATTCACAACAACTTTTCCTTCCGAATTTTTCATTTTCGGCATTTTTGACATTCCGAAAAAAGATTTCCGAATTTTTGGATTTCGGAAAAAATATTTCTCAGTAAGCCAGTAGGTAAGTTTGTATTAGTTGTATATAGTCCGTAAAGTGTCTATTTTTCTATAAATGCTATATTTGCATTTGTGTTACATTCAATTTGTGCATAAAAAATGTCCTGTTCAATTTCGAAGTAACACAACATTGACGAATTTGTGCGCCTACAACAACAGTCATATTGATTTCAATTCCAAATGTTAGGAACACTGCGCGGATCTCACTATTCGGAGAAATAAGAAAATTGTTGTAACAAAAAGTAAAACTGATGATAAAGAAGCCAAGCTAAGCGAGGTAAACCTGATAGTAAAAAATTACCGAGCAGATGAGTTCAACGATTCGAGTAAAGAAGTCAACGTAATATTTGACGCGGTCCTTTTGTCATGATCATTACAGGTGTTTCGTAGTCCGTCGGAGTCAGGTAGACTATGGACTATGGTACGTCTCTCTCGGAGTCAATACCAGTAAAAAGTACCCCGATAAGAACACATTAGTAAATAGTACGGTTATAGATGGCTCCTTGATAGCCGAATATTGCCAGTATTTGTTGGGTAGATAACGTACGCTGTGATTTGTAAATGAATCCATTTTTCTCTAAAGTAGGTGGAGGAGAGCCGGTCAAAGTGAAAATTTACGACTTTAATTTCTACTCCTATCAATTTTAAATTCTTCATCGATACGCATCATTCAGAATTCATCAAAACTCTGGAACTGGTCAATTGTCCGCTGGATGATTATACTCATGACAAGTACGTCTGAAATAATTCAATCGCTTGACCGAATTGTGTGATAACGAGTGGTTTTTTTTCACAGACTGTGGGCGGAAGTGCGAGACAAAGCCAAAATAGAGTTACTTTACTTGCTTTTTTACACCAAACGACTAATTGTGTTTCCAAACATAGATGCTGTTAGTCAGACGATCCCATCTGAAAACACACTCGATGCCTGGAAATGCATCATAGATATATTTGAAGAGAATGGCATGATTTTGAACATAATATTTTCGAAAATACACGAATTCATACGAATATATAAAACGCAAAATTTATAAGCAAAAATCTAACATAAAAATATTTGCTTTATTTTCTTTCAAAAACCATTTATCTTCTTTTTATTGTATTGTTCTGTAGGGTATTTGAAATTGGAGAAAAATCTATGAATCCATTTTCTCTTAAATTTCCACAGTCCGTTCTCTCTGTGTGTGAAGCTGGAAAGTTTCCAGTGGAAACAATCACTTTGAAAAATGTGAACACCTGTAATGATCATGACAAAAGGACCGCGTCAAATATTACGTTGACTACTTTACTCGAATCGTTGAACTCGTCTGCTCGGTAATTTTTTACTATCAGGTTTACCTCGCTTAGCTTGGCTTCTTTATCATCAGTTTTACTTTTTGTTACAACAATTTTCTTATTTCTCCGAATAGTGAGATCCGCGCAGTGTTCCTAACATTTGGAATTGAAATCAATATGACTGTTGTTGTAGGCGCACAAATTCGTCAATGTTGTGTTACTTCGAAGTTGAACAGGACATTTTTTATGCACAAATTGATTTTTTTTTTGTTAATTGAACCATTGCGACAAACAAATTCCCTCAGAATATTGTAGTTTTAAAGTGCAACATAAAGTCTTTTTCATATGGAGTGGTTGTTGTAAACTCTATATGAAAAAAATTTCATGTTGCACTTTGAAACTAAAATATTCCGAGGGAACTTGTTTGTCGCAACGGTTCAAATAAAAGTAAGTGTCATTAACCAAATAACACAACTTCGACGAGTTTGAAGTTCGCCTAAAACAAATATAATATTGATTTCACATTGGTTTCAGTTCTGAATGCTAGGAACACTGTGCGGCTATTTGATGTGTCATCTCGATGCATTCGAATTCTCCTACCTATATAAACTCAATATACGACATACGACATACGACACACGACAGATTGTCTTGGAGATCAGACATGTGCACGGTCAAAGCAAGGCCCCAAGCTATCTTTACGCCATCCTAACAGTTCATATTAATATTGAAACGAGTTCCACGTTGGCTAGACCTTATCTCCGGCAAAAAATTTCCATACGCGATTTTTGTTGTTGTACGAAACAAATTCTAATATATTGTAAGTTATGTTCGGCTCACTGATAAACTTACTAAAGTTCATGTTGATTTGAATACTTGATTGTTTATTTTTTATTAATTTAATCTATTAACCCATTCACTGCTACGAAAAAAGTGTCCACATTTCGCGCCAACGGCTGGTTATATTGGGTCAATTTGAAAGTTTCCGCCGTTTTTTTTGTCTAAAAATACATTTATTGCAAAATAAATTGAAAATGTACATTAACCAATGTATTCGCCATCGTTAGCTATGACTTCCCGCCATTTTTCTGGCAGCTTGTGGATTCCTCGCTTGAAGAAGTCCTCGTCTTTTGAGGTTATGTAGTCATCAACCCATTTTCGCACTTCTTCCTCATTTTGAAAGCGTACTTCAGACAGGGCAATCTGCATCGATCGAAATAGATAGTAGTCGCAAGGAGCAAGGTCTGGAGAGTACGCGGGCTGATCAATCCGATCCCAACCGAGCTGCTCTACCTTATTTTTAACGATTGTTGCACGATGTGGCTTAGCGTTGTCATCGTGGAACAAAACATTGTGGTGTTTTCGAGCTATTAATGGCCGTTTTTCATCCAATGCATGAGCCAAATCATTCAATTAGCGTCGATAGCGTTCCTTATTAATCGTTTGATCTGGTTTTAGCAGCTCATAATACACGACTCCTTTCATATCCCACCAGATGCACAGCATAACCTTATCGCAATGAATATCTCGTTTTGGCTGGGATGGCGCCGGTTGGCCGGGATCAACATACGCTACTTTACGCTTGGGGTTTTCGTAATGAACCCACTTTTCATCGCCGGTAACAATTCGATACAAAAAACTGTTTCTTTTTAGCTCTGCAAGATGTTTTGTGCATATTGCGATTCGTGCTTGAAGTTGCTCTTCAGACAGTTGATGTGGAACCCATTTTCCCAGCTTCCGAATCTTTCCCATGGCGTGCAAATATCTGAAAATGGTTGTTTGGCCGACGTTTAACTGCAATGCAAGTTCTTTTTGCGTTTGGGTTGGGTCTTCATCCAATAATGCTTGCAAATCGACATCTTCAATCGCTTCTGGCCGACCTGAACGTTCTTTGTCTTTCAAGTCAAAATCACCACTTTTGAATCGATGAAACCATTCTCTGCAGCTTCGTTCCGATGGAGCTTGCTCGCCATAAGTATCTGGCAGCATTCGATGAGCTTCAGCGGCAGTTTTCTTCAAATCAAATAAGAAAAGAAGGGCCCCTCGAAAAAACACCTTATCACGATCCATTTTCAATCGATTCAAAAACAATGACGCAGAACGAAAAATGAATCTTTCTGCTCTGAGTTAGATTGCTAAATGTCACATCTACAAAATGCAATTGGATTCACTTGTCAAGCTACGCTCAGTTACAAGTGGCGACATTTAAATGTCAGCGGCGGAAACTTTCGAATTGACCCAATACGTAGTTCTACCGACTGAATTCGTAGTTCTACCGACAAAAATGTGGAAAAATATTCGTCGAGGGGAATGGGTTAACATCGTGGGGCCTAATAAACATCCAAACAACTCCTATATTGCAGTAATTGTTAGAAATAGCAATCGAAATGTAAATGTGAACCCATCTTAAGATGTAACATGAATTTTGACATTTGACAGATGACTTGACTTTGACATTTGATTTTTCAATAAACGTTCTTTTTGTTATTACACTCAAACCGACTGGACATGTTTCAATATTCAAAGCCATAATTTTTTCCAGTAATAACTTAGAGAATTTTGATTGAACACAGTACTGTGTGAACTTCTCAATTAGGCATTTTTGGTTGAAATATCGGAAACAAAATCATGTATTCAAAAATGAGTTGCATTTGGTTTTTGTATTTGAGTTTTCAATCAATAGTAATATGCTTGAATACCATTACTTTTGCGAGTACAGTACCTCAGCGGGCTTCCAATTTGCCTGAAATCAAAAATTTTACCGAATTTCTTGAGAATTCTTTACATCGAAAAGTGTTAAATTATGAAATCAGTCCGTTGTCGACATCTAACTATCACACTGGTGCTTCGATACATAAAGTTGACGTGCATTTAGCCGCAAATAGTGAATCGCTTAAGGTGATATATAAATACCTTTACCTTCTGGAAGGGAACAGTGGTTTTTCGCAAAACCGTATTTTGAAAGTTAACTTAGTTTTTCTTCGAACTTTGTTTGATGTCCGGGAGTCTTTTTTGCATCAGAATCTATACCAAAAACCACTTTTGATATAAAAAAAATATCACTGTTTTATTCCAGATGGTATGTAAATGTGCGATTTTGTTTAAATTTAAAATGATTTTGTTTCAACAGGGTGATGTTTTCAACTTTGTAATCAAAACATGGGCAACGGATCCGTTTTTAATCGAATTAGGCAACTTATCGCATGCATTTTTAGCCGAAGAACGCTTTTATTCGTCAATAATACCGGCAATAGAAAGTTTCGAGCAAATGTCCAATGTTCCAAAAACTAAGCGGATCGATGCTTTTATCAAGAGTTTCGGCTGGCGAATGTCATTGAAACCGAGTGAGTTATGCAGTATGAAAATCATTCGATTTATCGATTACATTTTTCATAAAAAAACCGAATTAAATGTAGAGTTTGCTGAAAAAAAATAATATCACGTTCTTCGATACACATTCTAGATGCAACACAATCAGACGCAGATGCACTTATTCTATTGGAAAATATTGTTCATGAAAATTTCGTCCACATAGACGAGCGCATCGGATTTGATCGCGAAGAATCTTTGGCGGTCATCAAAGTACTGGACATTTCTTAATATTTCACAGAGTTTGCCATTTTCACCAAACCATGATGCCGATCGACTTTGATGCCATTCCACTAATCGATTCAATTTTCATTTCAGTCTGTTGCCAAATTCAATGCTCTCTGCATTGCGATGAAACGCTTACAACCAACGTTATTCAATACGCAAATAAAGCCGTACATAGAAGGAGGGACCCATAAACAAAATACCAGTGCAAATATTGTTGTAAATATAAAATCTCATAGTGCTTTATCATTTGAAAAAAAAAAAAAAATTACAAATTTTAGGGCATTGGCGATGGACTGAGCCTCATTAAAAATCTCAACGCAGAATTGCGAATGAAAGTTGAAAATCAATTTAGAATGATTGATACACAAAAACAAATTGCAGATTTAACCGACACACCATACAAAGCGATTCATCTGCAGGATTTAAAGAAATTCAACATTATGATTAGGAAACGTATGCCATTTTTTTAGAGAGACTCAATCAATTTAATTTCATTTATAGCAGTGTTCGTACTTCCGACCGACACCCGACTGACAATTTTTCGTTGTTGGTCGGAGTCAGGTAGACTATGGACTATGGTACGTCTCTCTTGGAGTCAATACCAATAAAAAGTACCCCGATAAGAACACATTAGTAAATAGTACGGCTATAGGTAGCTCTTTGATAGCCGAATATTGCCAGAATTTTTTGGGTATATAACGTACGCTGTGTTTTGTAAATGAATCCATTTTCCTCTAATGTAGGTGAAGGAGAGCCGGTCAAAGTGAAAATTTACGACT